AATATAAATTTAATATGACGTTAAAAAATTTTTAGGAATCCGGTTTGATTCGAATCAATTCGAATCGAGTCACGAATTGAATCGAATCACTCTCAAATTCGGTTCGATTCGATTCGTTCGGAGCCTTAGATTATACTGTACTGAATTTTGGGTTCAAACAAAATCAGCGTATATGGTTACACGGTGACCTTTTAAGCCCCAAATGGTAGGACTGGACCTGAAAAAGTCCGGTTTGTTTAGGACCCGGCCCCGAAATAAAAAGGACTGATTAACATTCCTAATAAAAATACGTGTAACACAAACCTGGATTTTGCATTGTTAAATTTTTTGCACAAAGAAATTTTACTAATAAAATAAATAAATACTTTAATTCATTTGTGCTCAATTGATTTGCCAAATCAGAATTTGATTTAAATTGGTCTGCATCAAGTGATTCAAATTTTTATGTGCATTGGAATTTGAATGTTTTAATCTTAAATTAAATGTACCTTTTGACAAAGTTAGTATTCCATTAATTTAGGATTGTTTTTTCATTTGAAACTTCAATTCCTAACCACAAATATGATTTAAACCATTCAGGCGCAATGATTTTTCTATTATGTGATCTTTGTTCATCTTCAGAACTTATATATAAGTTTATCACTACCAGTTGATTCATTATCAGATATTGCAGAAAAATCAATTGATGAAGTTAATTGTTCTGATCTTTTATTTTACCCACTTTCAAAAAATCTCGTGATTTATGGCCAATCAAAATGTTTGAATAATAAAGAAAAGTCCGACATTACAAGGTCTATGTAAAAATACTTTAACTTCGATAAAGCTTAGGCACCAACTTTCCTAGTCTAAAGTCACGTGTACTATATTATATATCAAGCAAGTTACACTTGTTACGAGAGACGAAAAATAATCATTTATTCATTTGGAAAACTTGTATAACAAAATACTTTTCTGGTATACGGAGAATGCTTCCCGCAAATAATTATAAATAAAAATGGTATTTTTTTGATTTTAAATTGTTTCTTTAATTCCCAACACTCATTAATATCATTGTTATCATTTTTTTATTGTTATAATTATCATTACCATTATCATTATTAATATACAAATAAGTATAATAATTTTTTTTAAAAAATTAAGAAACAATAAAGGAAAATGTTTAAAATTAGAAAAAGATCCAATAAAGACAACCTTATTTGTCAAAGGCCTGGTTGTAATAATATCTGTAAAATTGAAAATAATGGTATTGAGGTTAATTATTGTAGTAGTTCTTGTCAGGCAAAAAATTATTCTAGCGTAGACAATAATTCTATGACAAACGAAATTCCTCAAATTTTACAACCCATTTCTACTTACAACACCGCAAAAATGAATAATAATAATAACAGTGGAGGAGGTAGTAGTAGCAGTAGTAATAGTATTAATAATCAATTATTTAGAACAAACTCATATCTGAATAGTTATCAAGCTCACCCTCCCCCTCCAGTTCCCTCTCTACTTAAAAGTATTTTTTCAAAACCGCCTTCACCAACAGCATCGCCACTCAAAAGGCCACCATTACCTGTTAAATCAACAAGAAAAACAACATCATTCAATACAATGGAAAAAAGATCATCAACAAAAACATCAAAACCGACAATAACTCAATCTAATCCATATTCAACCTCAAACTATATAGTGATAGATGATGATGATGAGTCATCTGATATTCCATTATGGCTAAGTGCACCGGCCGAAAGATCGTTGACCGAAAGGGATTCAATTTACGGTGATTTTATTTATGATCCAATCTCGATTCCTTCTAATAATGCTATTAAGGATGATGATGATGATCTAGAAATATCATGCCCATCTTGTACATTCTTTATTCGACCAAATAAAACAGTATGTGAAATGTGTGGTACAATAGTATCAAAAAAGAAGGAGGAAAAGAAAACAGCAACAGCAACGTCTCCACCTCCATTACCATCATCAGTTGTCATAGGTCGAAATGCAACTTTATCGGGCTCAATTGAATTACAATGCGGCTCGTGTTCGTTTATTAATGATCCAAATAGTGGACAATGTGAAATGTGCTTTTTACCTTTAATTAATAAGAACAAAAATAGATTTGAACATTTATTTGCAAATAAGTCACCAAACAACAACAATGATAAAATTCAATGCTTACATTGTACATATTTAAATAACTCATCATCCTTGACATGTGAAATGTGTCATAATGAATTAGTTGGTGGTGGTGAAAGTTCAAGATCGATTAATAAAAGTAAGAAAACAATTGTAATTCCTTTGAAAATGAATGATCACGATTACATGGTCACACAACAACATTTCCGTGTTGGATTACCGGCAGCAAAAATTTTGACAATATTGCGCTTACAAATGCCATCCAGATTAGTTGAAGCACATGAAAAATATAAGAAACAAATAGCTAAAAATGGTAATCGTAATTTGGAATCCGTTACTCATAAAATGTTTCACGGAACAAGAGTTTGTTGTAATGTGGTTCGTTATGGTGGATTAGCTGTATGGGATTTTTGTAAAGCCAATTGTGGAGTGTGTGGAATAGCAACGAATGGGAATAGTCGTAAATTTTCTAAACATCAAGGAAGTAAGTATTATATATATATTTAACAGATAACTTATTAAATTTTAAGAATAGTAATTGTAATAATAATATTATTATTTTAAAAAAACAAATTGGATATTATTTTTTTTAAAGGAATGTGGTTTGCAAATTCTTCTGCAATTTCTCTTGGTTACTGTTCAAATGATCCAATTAAAGCAATCTTTATAGTGGATGTAATTTCATTAGTAGGACCTCAAGCAAATGTAATTATTGTTGATAAAGAAGAGGTAACGCCTATTATATATTATATAGTCGCTATATTTTAATTATTTGAAATTTTGAATAAATTAATGAATATATCTAACATTTCATTTTAAATAGGCAACGCTTGTAAAATTCTTGGTTCTTTTTCAGTGATTTTAATTTATTGTTTTCATTCATTGATTCTTCTTTCTTTTCTTTCTTTTCTTTCTTTCTTTTCTTTCTTTCTTTCTTTCTTGCAATTTTTTTCCTTCTCTTTTCATTCATTATTTTTTTTATATCAATTATTGAAATTATCATGATGAACTATAATAAAAAGTTTTTATTATTTATAGATTTGTCAAATTTGCAAATATTGATAGATGTATATTTTATGAGATGAAGAGGACTTGGATTTCTTTTTTTTTATTTACTATAGTAAATTTGTACAGTCTTTTTTACATATAACATATTTTGATTATATTTTAATATATATATATATATATATTCTAAAGTTTTGTTTTTGTTTTTGTATATATCATTGTATTAACATATTTATATTAAGTATGATAAACTATTAGTCAATTCATTCATTTTTCAGTATATAAACCTGGTCACATAATATTAATATACAAATTTTTATTTTCTATATAAAAAAAAAAGTACCAGACCTTTTCTAATTAATTAATATTAGCTAAATTTATACAAAAATTTTTTTTATAAATTTGACAAAAAAAAATTAAGGGTATTTTACATGTTTATTATTATTAAATTAAAAAAAAAAAAAACTCAATATAATAATTATTATTAATAAATTGTAATTATTGTTCAAAGATAATCATAAATTTTGGAAGTGTTGCCTATATGAAGAAAAAAAGTGAATAATGTATCATTAAAAATAAGAGAATGATAACAATAATAATTATTATAAATATGTATTACCTTATTTTTCCTTACAACAAGAATCCAATTATTATCTTTTGATACTACCTCAACAACAAACATCACTTTTATAGAATTAAATCCTGTATAATGACGTGAAACCAAAGTACTATGTGCAAACCACATTTCTATCAAAAGAAGAAAAGAAAATTAAGAAAAATTGGAATAATAATATAATGATGGCGTGTAAACGAAATGATGATATAATTGCTTACTTTTTGAATGTTTAGAAAGTTGTTTTTTATTTCCATATTGTAGGATTCCACACATTCCACAACCTTTTTTACAAAATTTACAATCATAGTTTTCATTATAGAAATTGTGATTCACTAAAAATCTTTCAGGATTACAACCGAACCTTGTTGTTGTTCCATGAAATACTTGATGAGTGATTTTTTCTAATGGTAAACCGGTCTTTTTTGATATATTTTTTTTATACTTTTCATGGTTTTTCAACAATTTTGTTGGCATATCTATTTTAATTACACCTTTAACATTAGATTTTGGTATTTCAGATATTAAAATATTTCTAAATTTAATATAATCAGGGTCATTGATTGATAAAATTGTTAACCTAGTCTTCACTAATTCATAATTTATTATTTCTGATTGAATACTTTGATTTTCTTCATATATTATTGATGATGATGATAACGACGAGGAAGATGAGGATAGTTGTATTAATTGAGTATTACATACTTCACATTTTATCATTATTGGATGATTTAAATATGCACAACTAGGACATTCTATTTCAATTAAATTAGTTTTAATTTCTTCTAATTTATTAACAATTTTTTCCTTTTTATTTTCTTTAAATTTTGCTTCAATCTGTTTGTTTTTTAGAAAAATCCTATTTGATTCAACCAACGTATCATCATTTATGCTATTTGCCGTCAATGTTTTATATGTAGAATAATCTTCTTTTTCTGAGAAAAATGATGTATTATAAAATTTGGGAGAAGGTAATAGTGATTGTGAAATTGATGAATCATCTTTATCATTTTCATTAATAGATGTTGTTGATATATGTTTATTAAGATTGTAGTTGCCATTATTACTGTTATTATTATTATTATTATTACTATTACTATTACTACTATTATTACTATAATCGTTATTGTAGCTATTATAATTAAAATTACTATTACTGTTATTTTCATCTTTGCTATTACTATTACTATTATCTTCTATAATTTCAGGATATCCTGGTATAGGACATAAAGCATTAAATTTTGTACCATTAACTCCATCTCTAAATTGTTCAAGATATTCTTGTTTTTTATTATGATTAATGTCTGAATGTAAAACCTTTTCCGTTAATTTTCGAAATTTTTTAATTAATTTTTTATCATAATTAATAATCATTGATAGTGATTGATGTTCACTATTATTCATTTTTTTGAAATGTGAATTTTTTTTTGTTAAAAAAAAAAAGATTTTAACAAGTGTTCGCCAGATAAGAGAAACACAAAAATGGAAATTATTTGACAATTATAATAAAAAAGGTTAGAATGTTTATCATATTCAAAAAGGTATATATAGCTCCTTTAACTCCTCCCAAAATAGTAATGTAAGACAAAAACAATTAGACCATCATCACCATCATTCATTCATTCATTACTTGGTGATGGGCGTTTTAACTTTACAGCCCATCACTAGTCACGTTATCATGAAGGAATTAAGCCTAAGCCTAAAGTTGCCCAAAATTGGCTTCTATATTACACACAATTTTTGTTTGGCGCGTGGCGCAGAGTGCTTATTTTTAAAGATCTAATTGCGATATTGATCCCTGTTACATAATAAAGTGCGTCATTTAGTGACTATCCAGCAATGTGTATATTTCACATGATCCGTTTACCATTTTCAGTTTGCTCGATCCCGAGCTTTCCAAGTTGTTGCAAAAAGAAGGTCTTGGATTGAATCTTTTCTTCGCCATTAATGCACCGCTCACTATATTTATGATAGTAAACTTTGTCGTTGCATTTATGGGAAGCAGGCTATTCTGATGCATCTTCTATTAAGAAACGAATTGGTGAGGAAAGTTGAGAATTCGCTTCATAATCGTGTTTAGGGAATCTTTTGCGGATTAAAATTTTCAAATCATGTTGTAACAACCATGCCATGATTGATCCGAGCGCATCTGGGTGGTTGAGCATAGATCCATTGCGAACCCAATAAGGGCTTTCAGGGTCAACGAATCCTGTGGATAGGTCCAGACAAACAAAACGACGACCGTCAAGTTCTATTCTGGGTTATCATGATTATTTTGAATTATTGTTTGTGGCTCGATTTTTTTCCGCTCAATAGTTACGTAATGAGACTTTTAAGTGGATCTAACCCAATTCTCCCCAACCATCATCACTACCTCCTTAAGAATGATAAATTTGCGCACTTGAACTTTTACTATTGAAAGGCCCGAGAAATTCCGATGCTGTTGAAAATAGTGCCTAAGATTTTCTTACCAATAAAGTCGTTTATCTAGTGCACTCTTTCTCGGGTTCGGGCTTGGGTTCTTTGAGAAATTAGGGAGGAACTATTATGCTTACATTGCTGTAATACTAATGCAGTGCCTGGCTTTTTTGTCGGATTTTGAAGCAAGAAAGCCCACTTCGAGTTTTGCATTACATGAAGTTTGTAAATTTCGAGAATTCCCGAGTTGATTGATTACATTGACCGATTGCACCCTAAACCCTGTAAACCGATTAAGGAAATCGGTTTCGAGTGGAATAGCACCATATGGGTATGGGACGAAGTCAACACACCGTTGAAATGAATAAGAAGATCAACAGGATTAGAAAAATATCAGTTTAAACATATAATTATCAATGTTAAATTGAAACAGGAGGAGGGAATAAAAGATGAAGAGAAGGCATTTATGAAATTAATAAATTCATTAATTACACAATTACAATAATGATTCTTCTTTTGACTCGCAATCGTCTTCATCACCATCACCATCTATTCATCCAAAAGAAATAGCAACACCACCACCAAATTTCTTGATAGAAAAATTCATAAACTCCAAATCGTCAACAATTACAATTTACAAGAAGAAGGAATTGATTTAGATATTTGACAAGTAATAAAAATTGTGTATGGACCAATTAATATGATGATTTTAATCATTAATGATTAATATGATTGAATTTGGAATTGCAATTAATTTCCTTCTTTTAATAATGTCCATGGATGGATAGATAGAAAATTTATCAATAGCTTAAAACTTTCTTTGAAAATTTTCCGATTCCCAAATTATATAAATTTTTTTTCCCACTTTTTTTATTTTAAATATTATTATATCCCTCCCCATAAATATTATAGTAAATGTAATGTAATAATTATAAAAAATGTAATAATTATAAAACAAAGATATAAAAATAAATAATTATAACTATTTTTTTGAGTTTTCTTTTTATAAGAATGGAAATTTAAACAGCAGGAGTAGCAGGAGTAGTAGTAGCAGGAGGGGTAGGTAATTTACAAACAGCACATTTAACAGGTGATGTTAAACCTGTTAAAGTAAGGTCACATGTCGTGTACTGTCTTTGACATACAGAAGTAGGAACAACTCCTGTCATAGTATTATTTGTTAAAATCCTATGCGAGAAGGAGGAGGGGATAAAGAAAAAAATCTTGAATTAAAAATAAATCTTGAAAAAAAAAAAACATTACAATCACAATTTACTTACAAGTTTACTATATTAAGGCCTCCTATTCCATCGGGAATATTACCGGTCAACTGATTATCATTTAGGACCAAATCACTTAACTTGACTAATTTGACTAATGATGCTGGTATTTGCCCATTCAAACTATTTTTTCCTAATGACAAGGTCAATAAGTTTTTTATTGTTGAAATGGAATCTGGTATTTTATTTTGGAATGCATTGGCACCGAGATCAAGGACAGTAAGGGTATTTTGAAAATTAGATTGAGCCAATGTTGCTGGGATGTCACCTGATAATAAATTAGTGTTAAGGTTTAACGTCTTCAGTGCCTTCAGCTGCATCAATGACTCGGGGATATTTCCGGTTAATTGATTGATGCTCAAGTCCCTACAAAATAAAATAATTTTAGTCAAGACATATGTAATTTCATTGATTATGTTTAAAAATAAATAATAAAAAGAATACATACAAATTTTGTAAGTTTGCTTGTAATGTTTCACTTTGACCAATAAAATCAGGTATTGCTCCTGTAAGACCTTGTTGTGATATCGCCAGCGTTGTCAATGAAAGAGTTCCTATTGATTTAGGCACAGCTCCTAATTGGACATTTCTTATAAGTTGCCTAATAAGAATAATAATTATTAAAAATTTAATTTTTTTTGAAGAATAAAATTTTTTTCCTTCCTTCCAATACTTACAAAGTTGTTAGAGAAGTCATTTTATCAAATGTATCTGGCACAGGTCCACTCAACAGAGTTGATTCTATTCTAAGAGTATTTAAGGCTTCCAATTGGAATATACTTGGGGGAATGACACCACTTGGAATTTTTGCGTCGCCAGATATCGACAATGTTTGCAAACTTGTTAACTTTCCAATATCATTAAGCAGTACTTTAGGAGTGTTTGGAAACCGGATATCCAAACCAATTATATTCTGACTGTTAGGACCACAAGTCACACCGATCCATTCGCAATAATTAGAATCGCCCATCCATTTCAAATTTTGTTCTAATGATGTCGCGTTATTTGAGTTGGCCCAGATACCTTTTAGTACACAGAATGAGGTAACATTGTTGAATGCCGGTTCAAAATCTTCGGTACAAAACTCGCACGGGAATTGTTTTGGTGGCAATCCCGCTAACATAGACATACACACTACTGATCTTATTTTGATCTCTAACTGTTTTGCTACTGGATCAGAAGAAGTGTCGTTAGTGGGTGGTGAATATATCACCTGTGTTATATTGCTGTTTGATGCTGATGATGCTAACGTATTTTTAACCATAACTACATCTAGAACTATTAAATTTCCTAACAAGAATATTATAATAAGAATTAATATAATAATTAAACAACAATTCCTATTTTTCTTCCCCTTTCTATTATTATTATTTCTTTTTCCTGACTCTTCTTCTCCAAGATTTTGAGGTCTATCCTTTTCTGATCTTTTAAATATATTTTTTATTTTGCAACAACAAAACATTGCTTTGATTATTTTACTAAATATTGAAGATGAGGAAGAAGACGATGAAGCAGGAGGATGAGGATTTACAAATACAATGGGTGATCTTGGTGTTGGCGTTGGTTTCGTTTTTATATCAACTGTTGTATAATAATTATTATTATATGGCTCGATTGTTTTACTATCAAATATCCTTACTGCTCTTTTTTCTTTTTTAGTATTTTTATTATTACTTTCGGTCTGTTGTTTTTGTTTTTCTTGTTGTGGTTCTTGTTTATTTTCTTCCAGCTCTTTTATCTTTTCTTTTTCCTCTTGATTTTGTTCTTTATTTGGGTTTACGCTAAGACAAAGTTGTCCTGATTCACTTTTTACTCTTTTTAATTGGGTGTTTTCAGCTGCTGTGTTTACTTTAACTTTTTTAATTTTTATAATGCCGTCACTACCTTTTTTTCCTTTTCTTTCGTTTTTATCACTATCGTCGCTATCTGAAGAGAAGGTTGATGACTCGACAGTATCTGATGAAACGTTTCTGTTATGTTGCCTATTATAAAGATCGTTGTTTTCTCTGTAATCTTTGTCGTTGTATTTAATACTTTTGTCGTTATTAGAGTCGGACCGGCGGCTCATAACAAGTAAATATAACTTATTGTTGTTGTTTAAAATTGGAGTTGGAACAAACTTTTTTTGTTAAAGGTCACGACGTTGTTTTTAAAAAGTTGACCGTGCCTGCCTGGTGCAACCTTTTTTTTTTTAAAGAATAACGATAGTTTTAAGGAAAGAGGAAAAAAAGGTAGCTAGGCAGTAAAAAAAAAAAAGTTTTTAACTATTAAAAAATAAACTTATATTATATAGGAAAGAAAACCTAAAAAACAATTCATTTTTTTAATTATTATTATATATTACACAATAGTAGTCGGACAAGGCATTTTAAAAGTTCGTGTAACAAAATTATCCACTTTAGCAAATAGACAAGGTCTCGATTTCTGGTAAACCACGTGATATCATTCAAATACTAAACAATTCTTTATTTAAAACAAAAAAATCGATATAACAACGATGATAACATAAATACGTCAATTAGACATTACCTTGTTTCTTGTTTCTTGGGTACTTTTATTTTTAAATAAGGATAAGGTAAATTATTTTTAGAAATAATGATCCGATTTTTTTTTTTATTTTCTCAATCCTTATATATATCACAAGTTATTTTTTTTTTATTTGAAAAAATTACAAAATTCGGTAATCGTCTTTAAAACTCGGTCTAAAGACCTTCTAAGTTTTGCAAATCTTAAAAGTATAAAGTCATTTTCTGTCCTTCCTTTTAAAAAAAATAGCCTCATTAGTTGATAAAAGAGATTTTCTCAAAAAAATTATTTGGTTAGTACTATCTTAAAAAGGATACCGGTTATGTAACCTCTATTAAAGGTAGAGTTCACGTGACACTAATTTTACTATCCCTTAAACGTACAGGGATTTTTGGTCCAAATTTGTGTAGATCTTCCGAGTAAATTCAATAATTCAATCCCTCTTTAAATTAAAATACTATATACTAACAAACCCCGAATATTTTTACATTTTCAATTAACATATATTCTGAAAATTTTATTTTAAAAAAATCATACATATTGGGAATCATTTTTATAAGTAAAGAAACATTTGTGTTTTTTTAAAAATTTTTTTTTGAAAAGTTCACTATATGGAAAATTTAATTATTGATAATAGACCTATGATTCTTAGACATAAATCATGTAATTGGATCTGCCTAACAAGTTCTATTAGTAGTGTTTACATACTAGCTAATAATTTTAGTGAAGGAGATATAAGGTTTATAATAACTGTATCGCAAATTTTTACTATCAAAAAATATGTAACCCCCAAATAAATTTTTTTAATAGAAGTATGGGGTTTTGAATATCATTTATGAAATAAGAAAAATTGTGCAGGAAAATATCTTTTTTTATAATTTTTGAGTCACAATTGGAATTTTGGTCCAATTTAAATGTTGTAATGAGTGATGATGATGATGATAAAAATAAAACGCACGAATTTATTTGTAAATTAGGAACAGTAATCATCAATTAACAAATAGTTTAGTTGCAAGCAAGTAGAAGTGTATTAGGAAAAAAGACTGATTCATTCCATAATGATAATGAAATTTTACTATTATTGTTTAGCATTAACCTTTTATATATTCTTCTAATGCTTGCCTTTAATCGAGTGTGAAGGAGCTCGACATATATTTGTTCTCCAGCAAATATGCTCCCATCAACATTCAACATTGCATGCGACAGGGTCAACTCTTGTATTTTATGGATGGTCAAGGCGAAAGCATTTTGAAGGGAGAACTGCTTTCTTGATGCTCTCTTATCATTTGTGAAGTCGATCACATTATATTCATTAAAAAATGATGAACTAAACCCTTGGCAAATGACCAAACCCTTGTATAATGTTATTTTATGTTATCAACCAACAATTATTTAGATTTTTGTTTTTTTTTTACAACTTCATTATCAACATCTCTTCTATGTAAATTGTGTTGTTTTAATATAAGCTTTGGTTTTTCTTTCTTTTTTGATGTATTGCTTAAATTACAATTATCATTGTTTATGTGTTAACATCTTCCCGTCTTCACTTTCTAAATAATGACTGACTCTGTTTTCTTGTCATTATTTTCAATCTGTAAACTTCTGCTTACATTTTTCTGATGCAAGTTTTTTAAAATAAAGATTGTCACTTCCAAATTCAGTACTATTATTCTTAATATTTAATATATTATTGTTTTTGTTTTCTAAGTCATTATAATTTGAACCATTATTTTGAGTTTCAATTAATTCAATATTAGAAACTTCAGTTTCATTACTAGTCTTATTATTTTTCATCAGCAAATACTGCATCTCATCAACAAAAAAAAAACAAAAAATTTAATTTCATCAACAATTTTTACTTTAATCAAAATCATCAAAGTGGCCCTTGGTGAGAAACTACCTTTTAGTCAGTACTTTTGTCATGTCAATGACTAAAGTCAACCCACATTCAGGATAATGTACGAGACGAAACTTTGGGCTTGTTTTATATAGGGCCACTCACTACACTGTCGGTGGAGGAGACAGTCTTGTAGATAAAAAAACAGAAGACTTGTTTTTTTTTTTTTAATTCAGATTCTTTTTAATCAACATTCTTCCTTTTATTTTTATTTTTATTTTTATTACTTTGAATTTTAGAAGCCACCTATTTTAAAAAATTTATTATCAAAATGTTGAATTACTTAAACATAAATTTTATTTATACAATTATCAAAGGGATGGAAGGGACCAATTCATAGTCAGCTTAAGTTTTTTTCTTACTGGTCCAACATCTTTTCTTTATTTATTATAAATAGAACTTCTATCCGTTTGAAAATATTTAACTTGACGTTGACATTAAAGATGTTAACCGAAATTATTTCACTTAGTGAAATTGTTTGCGGGCGCGTGTGTTACATTAAAGGTAGCCAATAATCTCTTGGCAGGATTTGTGCAGAAAATTCGTGTAACAAAATTGAAAAAAATTAATTTTTATTATTACGAATATACTTTTATTGA